CAGGAATGTTCATACTGCTATTTTCAGCACTGTAGCATGAGCTCTCTAAAGATACATCTACACTACATGCCAAAGTTGAATTAAGATATGCAACTTCAGTTACATTAACTGTGTAGTTGAAATCAAAGTAGCTTAACTTGGCTTTTGGCACTGTCCACACTGCAGGAAGTCGAAGGGAGAACACTCTTCCTTCCACTTCCCTTATTCCTCATGGAAGCAGGGTTACCGGCATCGACCAGAGTGCCCTTCTCACTTCGAATTACCTGTCTTAACTAGAGAGAGCGCTAATTCAAACCCTGGAAGATCAACAGTGGCTGCTTTGATCTTCCTCTGCAGTGGTGACCTACCATGAGTCTGAGCCTGTAGACCTAGGCTCTGAGTGATGTTCTACACTAAAGGTAGGTTGACCCAGCTAAGTTTCGAACAAGCATGAAAACGTCACACCTTGAGAGACGTAGGTAAGCCAACCTAAGGCCATATAAACAGCACTAGGTCCACCGAAAAATTCTTCCATTGGATTTATTATAGGTGGATTTATTACAGCAAAGGAAAAAAAACCTTTCATCACTGTAGTGTCTGTACTCAAGTAGACTTAAGCTGAGAATTGGGGCAGCAGTTTTGGTTTCTGTTTTATTTGCTGTTGTAGCGTAAACATACCTTATATTGTCAGCTTTAGGTTTCAAAGTGAATGCCCTCTTGCTACTAAGGCAAACATTTCACACCTCTCTCAACGCTGTTGTTTCAGAATCTTTCCTCCTTTGCAGATTTAAAGCATGGTAGTAAATTGCATTTTTTAGGTTTCCTTGGCATCCAAAATAGTTAGAAACTATTTTTTTTTAAAATAAAAGCATGAAAGGATCACTAACATCTACACAAAGAAACAAGAACCTTGGATTTTAAGGTCTACCTGTAAATTCTTATGCTTCTTCAGGTGACGTCCCAGTGGGTGCTTCACTGTTGGTGACGGGTCATCCCGGAGCTGCAGATCGGACCTTTTTTGAGCAGCTGTCAGTGGGCCACACGTGCACGGAGAGTGCCTCGCACTGTCCTCACTTCGGTGCCTCACGCATGCAGTCCAACTCCTCTTCATTTCCTTGCTTACTGCCCTCGGTCACAGACGGAGCTCTTTGTTCTCCTCAGAATTTCATTCTCTTCACAGAGATAGTTCAAGTTACACTTACCTTTTCCTCAAGTGTTTCCTTATTAAATATTCATCTTCCAGTTCCTATAAAAAAAAATTCTGTAAGCTCCGAAGTTGCCAGCAGTACCGGCGCTGGCTTGTCCAAGCAGCTGCATAATGCTTTTACCCTACCCTTCCTCCCCTTGTTTAAAAAAAAAAAAAGAACGAGGTGGGGCAAAAGGAGATAAAAGGAAGTGGAGAGTGACAATCTCGGCAATTGAGATTTTAACAGCACTCGAGCCTCACACACACCCCGCAATGCCAGGCTCACCAGGCTTTAAGAAACATGAGACATGTCGTCAGCCAATGCCTGTATCGGACAAACATTTAGTGCGCAATAGCTTGGGGGAAGCTCATGTGTGATCACTGCCGCAGCCTCATGAACAGAGCCAGAAAAGACAGGGAGCTTCAGCGCTGAATGATTTTATTCAAGAAGGCTGTTCAGCCTAGTGAGGACTCTCAATCCTCCCTGCCACCAGGACAGGCTCCTAGGAAAAGGACTGCCTCCCCGTTGCCTCACAAGCTGTCAAAAAAGAGACTCTCCCCAACAAGTTTGTTGTCCCCCACCCTGTCTCCCAGGGTGATCCAGAGGGATACACCAGGGGAGTTCCCTACCGATTAACTCATCATCACCCCCATGAAGCTGTAATTCCAGAGGATATCCCCCCTACAGATGAATTGAAACAATTCCAAGAGATTTTCAAGAGGGTGGCTGCAAGTCAAGATGTTCAGTTACAGGAGGTCAAGGAAAAGCAACACCACCTCCTCAAGAACATCCTCCCTTCTTCGCAGGTAAGGATTGTGTTTGCCCACCAATGAGGCCATCATGGAAGTTTCAGATTAAATTTGGCAAACTCCCACCTCTATGCAACCAATATGGAGGAAAGACAACAGGAATTACTTTGTCCCTCTGAAGGACTTAGATTTCCTTTTCTCACCTCCACAACCAATCACTGCCAATCCTCAGTACAGATCAGTATCTAATGACAAGGAACACAAAAAATTAGACCTATTTGGAAGAAAGGTATACTCTTCAGCCACACTACAGCTGAGAATTGCTAATTATTCCACACTATTAGTGAACCATGACTTTAATAACTACTCTAAACTTGCCGAGCGCATGGAACACCACCCAGACTCTAAAAGACCCATTCTCAAACTGATTATTCATGAAGGGCATACCATTGCCCACATGGCCCTGCTCTCCTCAATGGACATAACTGAAACAGCAGCCAGAGCAACTGCCACAGCAGTGGTAATGAAAAGAGCCTCTTGGCTCCTCTCTGTGGGAGTGCCTGAGAAGCTCCTGTTGAAGGTGGAGGACCTCCCCTTCGATAAGCACAAACTCTTTGTGGCAAATTCAGATGAGGTCCTGCACAGCAGCAAAGAATCTTGAACCAGACTTCGGACAGATGGCATGTACAGCCCTCCATACCATGGAAAATATTATACCCAGTGTAACAGAAATAAAGATAGTTATTACAACTGCACAGAGCAGAAGCCTTATGAGTACAACTGGCCCAGGCAATGATCCCACAGGAAGCGCCCACCCCAATCTCGCTCCTTGGGTTGCCAGGCAACTAAGCAGCAGATTTGAAAATTTGGTCAAGGGACTACCCGACCTCCCTGTCCATCCACTGACAACAAACCAACACCATCTGTTCACCCACAGACTCCATCCCTTTTACCACCAATGGGACTCCATAACATCAGATCAGTGGGTGCTAGAAATCACCCATGCAGAATGTCACCCCCTTTACATTGCTTCCCCCTACTTTTTCCCGTTCCCCATCCCTCTTCAGGGACCCCTCCCACAAGATCCCTCTCAGACAAGAAATCGATCACCTCCCCCATCTAGGAGCAATAGAGAGGGTTCCAGATGCATTTCGGGGAAGGGGATTTTATTCCAAATACTTTCTGACTCAGAAGCGGACAGAGGGCTGGGGACCCATACTGGATCTCCGCAAGCAAAACAAATTCCTGCGGAAGCCACGATTCAAGATGGTAACTTTGGCTTCAATTATACTGGCACTAGATGAAGGGGACAGGTTCGCAGCCCTTGACCTACAGGACCCATACTTTCACATCGCCATACATCCATCACACAGACGGTACCTTCGATTCATGGCAGGCGATGACCACTTCCAGTACAGAGTCCTACCTTTTGGATTGTCTTCTGCCCCTGGGTATTCTCAAAGGTCCTTGCTGTAGTCACTGCCTACCTCCACCAGCAGGGGATCATGATTTTTCCATACTTAGACGACTACCTTATAAAAGGCCGGTCCCACGAGGAAACGACCAACATGTTTTTGAAAACCAGACACCTGTTCAATCATCTGGGCCTCCTGATAAACAAACAGAAATCAACTCTGAATCCCGCACAGGGCATAGAGTTCATTGGGGCCCATCTTGATCCATTAGCTGCCCGAGCTTATCTTCCACATCACCGCTTCATTGCACTATGCAATCTCGTAGCCATGTTAACCACAAGCCCTTCCACTGCAGTACTTACCTGCCTCCAATTGTTGGGCCACATGGCCGACACTACTTTCTTCATCCAATATGCACGCCTCCATTTCCGTGCCCTGCAACACTGGTTAGCATAAGTCTATACGCCATTTCGTCGTCCCCTACACAAACAGGTTACTGTTCCCAAGAGGGTGCTGGACTCTCTCAAATGGTGGACACTACTCAGCAATCTCCTAGCAGGGGTACCCTTCCCCCAACCTGAGCCATCAGTACACATTATTACGGATGCCTCTCTCCTGGGCTGGGGTGCACACCTGCACCAGCATGCTATTCAGGGCAGATGGTTCCCACTCAAAACTGTACTGCATATCAACCTCCTCAAACTCAGAACCATGAGAAATGCATGCAGCCACTGCACCCCCATGATCACCAACCTTGTCATTTGCATATTTATGAACAACATGACAACCATGTTTTATATAAACAGGCAGGTAGGGTTGCAATCACTGAGTGTGGAAGCAATCCACCTTTGGAACTGGTGCATTCATCACAGGGTCACTCTGATAACATCATACTTACCTGGAGTGAACAATGTCAGAGCGGATGTCCTGAGCCACAATTTTTCCATCGACCATGAATGGGAACTACACCCAGCAATGCTTGCCTCCATCTTTCACCGCTGGGGATATCCATCAATAGACCTTTTTGCAACCCCCAACAACACCAAGCTTCTGCTCCCGGGTGGGACTGGGCTAGGGATCCCTGGGCGATGCATTCCTAACCCACTGGAATGAGCTGCTACACTATGCCTTCCCACCCATCCCACTCAATCCCATAATACTACACAAGATCCAGGCCAACAGAGCTCGAGTCATCTTGATAGCCCCATCCTGGGCCAGACAAACCTGGTCTCCATACCTACACTCGATGTCCATCACACCAACTTATCCTCTTCCATCCTGTCATGACATCCTCTTCCAGGCTGGGATCAAACTCCTCCACCCCCAACACCACACTCTTCCCCTGCACACCTAGCTCCTGTCTGGTTCCACAGATCAGAATCCCTATTCTTCTACACAGCAGAACGCTGTCCACCAGAGCCACTTACCTGGAGAAATGGAAGCGGTTCTCCTCTTGGTGCCAGCAAGCCCAAGTTGATTCTCATAGTACACCACTCAATCGTGTCCTTGACTATATATTCCACCTCAAAACTGGAGGCTTATCAGTCTCCTCCGTCAAGATCATCTGTCTTCACATACCCTGCAACCAGGAGGTTCCTGAAAGGCCTCCAGAATCTCTACCCTCTGCATAGAGCCCCAGCCCTCACCTGGGACTTGAACTTAGTTCTAGACGGTCTCATGAGACCTCCTTTCGAGCCCATGGCGACTTGTCCACTCTCGTTCTTCTAATGATGGTACTATTCTTGACAGCTATTACCTCAGTAAGGAGGGTTAGCGAGATAGGAGCCCTGATGGTCAGACCACCATATAGTCTTCACCAAGGACAAAGTGACCTTGCAACCGCACCCAACATCTCTACCCAAGGTCAGCATGGCCTTCCATGTCAACGAGCCCATAATATTATCAACATTTTTTCCTAAACCTCACGCATCCCGCAGGGATGCTATGCTCCATACCCTGAACATTCACAGAACTCAGGCTTTTTATATAGCTAGAACTCTATCATTTCGGAAGTCCCCACGCCTCTTCATATCCATCACAGCATTTTCGAAGGGCACAACAATTTCCATTCAATGTATCTCCAAATGGATATCATCACATATACCAGGATGCCATTCCCTCCGCAACAAAACATTGACAGTCCCACCAAGAGCACATTCCACTCATGCTACTGCAACCTCCACGGATTTCCTGAGCAATGTGGCCCTTAAGGACATTTTATCGACCAACCAATGGTCATCAGACCACACCTTTGCCAGGCACTATGCCTAATGCCTCAACTGGCAACAGATATGGTGGTGGCTACAGCGTCCAAGCAGTGACTCTGATTCCCCCCATCCACATAGGGCACAGCTTTGTAATCACCAATAGTGGAGGACACATGGGGACATCACCCGAAGAAGAAAAGGAAGTTACTCACCCTGTGCAATAACAACTGTTCTTTGAGGTGTGTCCCCCCGTGGGTCCTCCACAATCTTCCCTTCTCCCCTCTCCTCGGAGTCTTAAGGTATGTCTAAACTACTTCCCCCCCTCTCCCGAAAGAGAGAATTTTCATATCTTCTTCTGATCACTTTTTCGAAAGCGGGTCTTTCAAAAGTGAAAGTAGTCTGGATGCGGGCTTTTTTTTTCCAGAAAAAATCCCTTTTTCGAAAAATCACGTAACCCCTTTTTTTTTTTTTTTTTTTTTTAAAAGGAGGAGAGGAATTTGCATATCCTCTTTCAAAAAAAAAGTAGTTTAAACATATCCTTAGTTACTCAGGCATAGATGAAGAACTGAAGATGGGGTCAGGGCCACGCATGAGGCGCCAAAGCAAGGGCAGTGCAAGGCGCTCTCCGCACATGTGCAGCCCACTGACAACTGCTCAATAAAGCTCCGATTAGTGGCTCTGGGACAACCCTTCACCAACAGTGGAGCACCCACGTGGACACACCTTGAAGAACAATCATTACTGCACAGGGTGAGTAATTTCCTTTACCATACCCTTCACCATAGTATCTGAAGATAGGATTTTTAAAGGAGACTAAAGATGTTATGCACCCAAATTCAGTACAAGCTGGGCACCTAATTATTTTGCAATTCTGACCAAAGTGTCTTATAAAAGTATTAAACTAAAATAAGCCACTTGTTCTCTGTCTCTTGCCCTCATTCTGTAAGGACTTTGACTTGCTGGTTTGCTTTTTAAATATGTGACTTGGTTTATTGCGAGAAGGTTGAGCTGAAGAAGTGGGGTTTGCTCTGAAGGAGCTTATACTTGATGTCTTCCAGGAGTAATTTTTAGATTTATGGGCCAGTTATTGAAAATGCTCTATCTGCAGTATGCGATGCGATTGTTTCAGTGGAATAAGGCTGTCATCATCACACAATGTGAGGGCCTCTCATTACCTACTGATGCCATAAAGGAATTTGGAGATGACGCCCAAAACCTGGAATTTGAACTTATATCCCCCCCGAGCCAACGCAGGCAACAGAGTTCTGTGGTGACAGACTCTCAGTGGTCTGCGGTGTTGAGCAATATGCAGCCATGTTCTGAGTCAATTACAGCTTTTAAAAAAAATCAAATTTTGAAAAGTCAATGCACATCTAAAAATACATGCAAACGGAACTGCACAGAACTTAACTTCTGCTTAGTTAAAATGCTTTATAAATCTTGGGTCTTTCCCTTTCTCCCAGCAGCTACTACTTCAGTCTCATGCGTTCCAACCCAAACTTTGTCACACTGGAGTACGATGAACTGAACTACTTCAGAAAGCTGGTTACTGTGGTAACACAGCACAGTTTGTATCTCCATGCTTTTAATCTGTTCTTTGGGGGAAAACTGGCAATCTGTTTATTTGTGCCCTCTGAAAAGGGTCATAGAGCAATGAGCCAACTATCAGGGATTGTATAGAAAGGGACATATATGAGGGTACGTCCACACTGCACCCTAAACTCAAAATAAGATACACAATTTGCGCTACACAAATTGCGTATCTTATTTTGATTCTATTTCAGCATAGCTTAATTTGAAATTTGGCATGTCTACACGGTGCCAAATTGTGAGATAATACATTATTTTGAGACATCCCTTAACCCTCATGGAATGAGGGTTACAGGAAGGCCGAAATAGCGTGCCAGTTATTTTGAAAAATATTTCCAAATAACAGGCAGCTTGTTAAGACGCAAGGTAGCTATTCTGGGATACCTCAGACATACTTCTTTCACATAAATGTGCACTATAGGATATAAAAGGTTAACCGATTAACTGGTTACCTGGTAAACATTAGGCTTACCAGCGTGTTTACCTGGTAACCAATTCACTGGCTCAGCTAGCACGACCCTCTCCACAGTGGCCATGGCCAAAGCAGTCTCCAGTGTGGCACGGCGGGCTGGCTGTGGCAGGACCCTAGCTGCAGTAGCCCCTGCCTGGAGCAGCTCTCTCTTTGCCTGGCAGGTGGCATTCTTGCCTCACAGCCCTCCACAGTTAACCACTTAACCGGTTAAACAACTAAAATTATATCATTTAACTGTTTCAATGGGGTTTAATTTTTCATGTGCTTTTATATATAAAATCAACCTATTTTTTTTTTTTTTTTTTTTTTTAAAAGGAGGAGAGGAATTTGCATATCCTCTTTCAAAAAAAAAGTAGTTTAAACATATCCTTAGTTACTCAGGCATAGATGAAGAACTGAAGATGGGGTCAGGGCCACGCATGAGGCGCCAAAGCAAGGGCAGTGCAAGGCGCTCTCCGCACATGTGCAGCCCACTGACAACTGCTCAATAAAGCTCCGATTAGTGGCTCTGGGACAACCCTTCACCAACAGTGGAGCACCCACGTGGACACACCTTGAAGAACAATCATTACTGCACAGGGTGAGTAATTTCCTTTACCATACCCTTCACCATAGTATCTGAAGATAGGATTTTTAAAGGAGACTAAAGATGTTATGCACCCAAATTCAGTACAAGCTGGGCACCTAATTATTTTGCAATTCTGACCAAAGTGTCTTATAAAAGTATTAAACTAAAATAAGCCACTTGTTCTCTGTCTCTTGCCCTCATTCTGTAAGGACTTTGACTTGCTGGTTTGCTTTTTAAATATGTGACTTGGTTTATTGCGAGAAGGTTGAGCTGAAGAAGTGGGGTTTGCTCTGAAGGAGCTTATACTTGATGTCTTCCAGGAGTAATTTTTAGATTTATGGGCCAGTTATTGAAAATGCTCTATCTGCAGTATGCGATGCGATTGTTTCAGTGGAATAAGGCTGTCATCATCACACAATGTGAGGGCCTCTCATTACCTACTGATGCCATAAAGGAATTTGGAGATGACGCCCAAAACCTGGAATTTGAACTTATATCCCCCCCGAGCCAACGCAGGCAACAGAGTTCTGTGGTGACAGACTCTCAGTGGTCTGCGGTGTTGAGCAATATGCAGCCATGTTCTGAGTCAATTACAGCTTTTAAAAAAAATCAAATTTTGAAAAGTCAATGCACATCTAAAAATACATGCAAACGGAACTGCACAGAACTTAACTTCTGCTTAGTTAAAATGCTTTATAAATCTTGGGTCTTTCCCTTTCTCCCAGCAGCTACTACTTCAGTCTCATGCGTTCCAACCCAAACTTTGTCACACTGGAGTACGATGAACTGAACTACTTCAGAAAGCTGGTTACTGTGGTAACACAGCACAGTTTGTATCTCCATGCTTTTAATCTGTTCTTTGGGGGAAAACTGGCAATCTGTTTATTTGTGCCCTCTGAAAAGGGTCATAGAGCAATGAGCCAACTATCAGGGATTGTATAGAAAGGGACATATATGAGGGTACGTCCACACTGCACCCTAAACTCAAAATAAGATACACAATTTGCGCTACACAAATTGCGTATCTTATTTTGATTCTATTTCAGCATAGCTTAATTTGAAATTTGGCATGTCTACACGGTGCCAAATTGTGAGATAATACATTATTTTGAGACATCCCTTAACCCTCATGGAATGAGGGTTACAGGAAGGCCGAAATAGCGTGCCAGTTATTTTGAAAAATATTTCCAAATAACAGGCAGCTTGTTAAGACGCAAGGTAGCTATTCTGGGATACCTCAGACATACTTCTTTCACATAAATGTGCACTATAGGATATAAAAGGTTAACCGATTAACTGGTTACCTGGTAAACATTAGGCTTACCAGCGTGTTTACCTGGTAACCAATTCACTGGCTCAGCTAGCACGACCCTCTCCACAGTGGCCATGGCCAAAGCAGTCTCCAGTGTGGCACGGCGGGCTGGCTGAGCCAGGACCCTAGCTGCAGTAGCCCCTGCCTGGAGCAGCTCTCTCTTTGCCTGGCAGGTGGCATTCTTGCCTCACAGCCCTCCACAGTTAACCACTTAACCGGTTAAACAACTAAAATTATATCATTTAACTGTTTCAATGGGGTTTAATTTTTCATGTGCTTTTATATATAAAATCAACCTATATACAAATCATATCGCTTTGCATCCTCTACCCCCTTAGTGGTGCTAACATCCAATCTTCATTTGGCCAGCTCTCTTACAAATACTTTTATACTTTCTGCCCTACACTGAGAACGCTCCCCTATGTTGATCCGTAATATCCCCCATGTTCTGCCCCTTCAATTCTCTTGTCAAGATCAACCGCCACTGTGATACATGCCACTAATAATGTTGATAGTCAATTTAAAAGAAAAACATTGATTTTATGTTTTCTACTTTTACACATGAACTTTTCAGGGCAGGGTCTGTCTGAGAAACAACAAAATCATCAATAATGGGGATTAGGTTCTTGAATGCAGCAGACTAAATCTCCACAGAAGCTAGATCAAGACTACCAAACTCATTGATAGATGAAATAAGAATGGTCACCAAAGTCACCACAATCAAGCTAAATGCAAAATCCATCTCTTCACCCAAACTCTTCCATAATAGATCCCTCGGTCATACTACTGCCACTCCTCTTAGACAATAATATTAATAAAGAACTAATACTGCTAATAATGAAATTCAAACTTCTACTCATTATCAAGGAAGGGGTGGAGAAAGAGATTGTTGTCATGGTTTTCTTACCACTCGGAGTTGAAAACTCATTTACTAACTTGAGGGGTCTTATATAGGAACATGGTTGGATCAATAGAGAGAATTTAGTCCTAAAAGATAACTCTACCATATCCTTGAGGGTTGCACTGTGAAGTAATTTTGTTTTTATTCTGCCCTCTAGTGTCCAAAATAAAACTAAACATATCTATAGAATTATTCCCAGGGAAGACAGTAAGCCAAATTCTGCTCTTGGGTACAATAGTATGAATTTGGAGGCAGCAGAGTTGCTTTGGATTTACACTTTTGTTTCTGATCCACTAAATGAAGTTGTTTAGATGTGGACAAAAGCAAGGCTTTCCTGGTTTGAATCCCACAGGACACAGCTATCTCAACAGCTTTGCAATAGAATTATTTGAAGGGGAAACCACTATTGAAACACTTGTGTGTCAAAGGAGATGAAAGGTCTAAACACACTAAATTGCTTGAAAGTAGTGAAATTTACAAAATAAATTAAATGTGAGCAAACAAAGGGTCACTTTGACAGGAACTAGGTTGATCTTATGTCCCATTTTAGATGGGACAATCCCCTTTTTGAGCTCTGTCCCAGACATCACAACTTTTTTGGCAAAACTAGGCATTTGTCCTGTCTGCTCTTGCTGTATGGAGGCCTGAAGAAACACTGAAGCAAGAGCAAATGGGACAATTTCCCAGTTTTGCTAAAACAGTCCTGATGTCTTTGACAATGGCTAAAGCCCCATGCAGCTCAGGCCATCAGTCACGTAAAGCAGGGCTCAGGCAACAGCAGGCAACTTGAGCTGCATGTGGCAAGGCATGGGCCATTGGCCCTATGGAGCAGGGATTAGGCAATGTGAAGCACCTCAAGCAAGCAGTCATACCAGACAGCTCAGGTCCCATGTGGCAGGGCTCTGGCCCTTGGTCCAGTGGAGTGGGGCTCAAGCAAGTGGTGACACAGGTGGCTCTGGCCACAACTGTGCTGCTTCCCTAGTGCCCTGTTTTCACTTTAAGGAAACATGGCCACCCTAGCAGGAGACTAAGAGCTACAATTAATGAATACACAATAGCATAATTGTATGTACTCCCACATAGGAAGGTGCAGCTTGCGGAGGTAAGTACCATGACCATAGCATGCAATACTCCTGACAAAGTACAGAGTCCTATAGATGGCAATTTATACCAACAATGTCATGGACAAAGCTGGGCTCGGTACTGAACCAGCCAATCCTTAAACTCTACCCTGTGTCTCTCGAGTTGCCAACCCTCCTGGTTTTGCCAAGAAATCTCCCAGAATCATGCTATATTCCCCAGGGGCTACTGAAGCCAATCAGAGATTGTAGGCTGCTAAAGGACTGGCGGTGCAGTAGGGCTAAGGCAGGCTCTCCCTGGCTCTGGCTCCATGCGGCTCTGAGAAGTGCTCATCACATCCCTGTGGCCCCTGGACAAAGGGACAAAGTCGCTCTGTGCGCTGCCCCATCCCAAGCACCAACTCTGCAGCTTCCATTGGTTGGGAACTGCGATAGCAGTGCCTGCAAGCAGGGGCAATGCACAGAACCTAGAAGTCAGACATGCTGGTCACTTCCAGGAGCCATAAGGCAAGGAAAGGAGGGGAAGAGAGCCTGCCTCAGCCCCACTGCACCCCTGTACTGGAGTTACTTGAGGTTAAGCACCACCCAGCCAGAGTCTGCATCTCTCACCCCCTCCTGCACCCCAACCTCCTTCCCCACCCCAAATCCCCTCCCACACCCAAACTCCCTCCCAGAGCCTGCACCCCCATCTCCTCTCCTGCACCCCAACACCCTCCCACACTCAAACTCTCTCCCAGTGCCTGCCCTCTCTCACCCCCTTCCGCTCCACGACCTCTACCCCGTGCTCAGCCCAGAGCCCACGCCCCACAGAAGGAGGGGCACAGAGTGAGAGGGGGCAGGGGGCTTAGGCAT